CCGTGCTTTGTCGATGTGGGATTCGCCTAAGGTGTTACAGTACCTGATGATGCGATCCACCTGCACCTCTTCCCCCATTCTCTGGCAGGGCATGCAAAGAGGTGGTTGGAGACCCAGCCCCCATTGTCCATTACTTCTTGGGACGATCTAGCCAACCAGTTCGTACACAGGTACTATCCGGCATCGAAGACTACAGAAATTCAGCGAGAGATCACTCACTTCCGCCAAGAGCAGATGAGTCACTTCGTGATGCATGGGAGCGGTACTCAGGGTTTTTCTGGCAGTGCCCCCATCATGGGTTAAACGATGCATTCACCGTGGGGAACTTCTACAGTGTTTTCTCTCCGGAAAGCCAGAGGGTGATTGAGTCTCTATGCCTAGGAGGGGATATTCTCACTAAGACTCCACCCGAATTGAACCAGATGATCAGTACCTTGGCTTCCAGAGATCATTCTTGGGGGCAGAGCACTAGAGGCAGGAATTCCCGGGATCGTGATGTGCATGCCATGAAGGCCAGGTCCGGGCTAGAGCGGGAGATGGCCGAGCTAGTGCAGACATTGAAGCAACCCAACAGTCTTATTCCGGGCAGAGGTTTGGCTGTACCTCCAGTAGCTCAATGTTAGTGGTGTGAGAGCTCGAACCATCTGGTGGAAGACTGTCAGGCTATGCGGGAGTCTTCTACTCCCCAAGAGCAGTTGGACTTCATCGCCAATGCTCGGCGCCTTGACCCATACAACAATACATACAATGAGGGGTGTCACCAACATCCCAACTTCGCTTGGAATAGCAACACCACTAAACCACCTGGTTTCTCAACACCAGCAGGTGGGTTTCAGCAGAGGCAGCCTTTCCAGGCTAGACAGGGGCTCGTTCCACAGCAACAGCCTTACCAGCCTAGGCAGGGGCAACCATCTCAGCAGCCCCAGCGTCAGTATGCCGAGCCGGCAGCAGCTCTATCTCCAAATAATTAGATGACCGAGCTGAAGAACATTTTGGCGGCATTTATGACTACCAGCGAGGCGAATTTTACCAGGATAGACCAAAGCATCGCCTCCCTGGAGGTGGGTCAGAGGAACCAAGATGCCATACTGCAGGACCTCCAGCATCAGCTTGGAGGAATAGCTCGTCAGAACAATGCCCGGGCACCGAGAACTCTACCTGCCACTGCTATCCCCAATCCAAGGGAGCCGCACCAGCAGCTGAATGTCATCACCACCAGGAGTGGCAAGACCACATCGGCGGTACCTGCCTAGGCTAGGGAGGAAGAGCCACTGCCTGCTTCAGCACTTCCAACCGACGATGCAGAAAGGAGGGTGGAGAAGGAAGCCCCTACTCCCAGGCCACAGCCAGTGGTTAAGGAGCATGTACCCCAGCTCCCCTTCCCCACTCGACTACATAAAGATAAGCTGGAGACTGAGTTTGCCAAGTTCATGGCAATGTTGAAGCAGCTCAACGTCAGCATACCTTTCATGGAGGCACTGTCGAAGATGCCCAAGTACGCCAAGTTCATGAAGGATCTCCTCAGCAACAAGAAGAAACTTGGGGATCTTTCGACAGTCATGCTGAGCGAGGAGTGTTCTGCTATCCTGTAGAACAAGCTGCCCGAGAAGCGTAAAGACCCAGGGAGTTTTACTATCCCTCTTGTTATTGGCAGCATGCATGTAGGAAAGTCCTTGGCGGACCTAGGCGCTAGCATAAATGTCATGCCATACAAATTGTTTAAAAAGCTAGACCTAGGTGAACCTAGAGCTACTAGGATGAGCATTCAGTTAGCTGATCGCTCCATTGTGCATCCTAGGGGTATCATAGAGGATCTGCTTGTTAAAGTAGGTGCATTCACATATCCTGTTGATTTTGTTATTCTGGATATAAATGAGGATGTGGATGTGCCTTTGATTTTGGGTAGACCGTTTCTCGCCACCGCCAAGGCACTTATTGATGTGCATAGTAGTAAACTGATCTTGCGTGCTGGGAATGAACAGGCTACTTTTTCTGTGTCTAAATTAGATCATTGTGATATGCCTGTTGTCACACCTATGCATGCTATTTCTCACCAGGTACATGAGCCTGTCGTGTATCCCTCTGTGCCTCTTGTTTTGCAGGATCCCCCTCTCACGCCTTCGCCGCCACTCCCTTCAACCTCACCGCCAAACAAAAAGATCAAAGAGGAGTGGCGGCCGAAGAAGTAGGTGGCTAAGCCTGCTCGGAAGAAAGGTGGAGACCACTATGAGCTGGTCCCACCTCCTGCACCACGACCACCCTGGCCATCCGAGTACTCACTCGCTTGCATCTTGCCGGATGGCCAGGTCGAGTTGACAAATGCTGGTGGTTGCACCCGTCAGGTGCATGGCCACCATCTGAAGTTGTACCTCAAGAGCGATGTGGATCCGCTCTTGGAGGCACCTGTTCCTACACCCCGCTGAGTATCCACCATGGGCGTCCAGCTAAAAAACGATAAAGAAGCGCTTGTGGGGAGGCAACCCCACTACGGTTTGCATTTATTTCTTTTGTTTTGGGTCGGATTGCAAACTGGTTTGGTTTTGGTTTGTTTTCTTTTGTTTTGGATGATGTATTATTGGGCTGACCATTGGACCTAACAGATTGTGTTTGAGTTCTTTTGTTCCCTTTAGATGTGCTTTGTCCCAGACTGGTCCCCTCTCCAGTCCGCTTCACTCAGACTGGTCCCCTTCCAGTCTCATGCAGTCCATGCACACCGGTAACATCGTTCCCCTTATCCTTCCCTCTTCTCCATTGAGGGCAATGTCGAACTTAAGTGTGGGGGGGGGGGATGTTTATCTTTTGACTGCATTAGATCTGTTTGTGTGCTTGGAAGCTAGTCCACTGTCCAAATTTTTAAATTTGAGGGCTCCAAGTACGTGTTTCCTTGCAAATTGCTTGCTCAGTATGCTTTGAATTGACAATCTCTATAGTAATGTTCAACCTAGGGAGGTAGTGTAGCACTATGGAGGATGTTGAAGTATAAGATTTTTCCTATCTATCACTCTGCTGTGCCAGTTGATTTTGTGAATTAGTGGAGCTAAGACCGTTGAATTCATGTGGTAATGGTGACTCTGTTTGGATTGTGTTATGGACTCATGTATCGAACAGGGTGCTCATGTGAAAAATGAAAAGCAGTTGGTCCTCCTTGTCGAAATCATTAAATCTTAAACATGGGGTAAGCCCAACGTGTGTGGCACCGTTCATTGCACAAAATCGGGTTTTGGAAGAGATTTTAGTGATCCTTAGTGGAGTACTCCTACAAGGTGAAGCTAAGTTGTCTCTAGTACAAGTAAAACTTCCACCCGTTGAACGGTTTGCCTACTTGAGGATGCGTTTTTAAGGGCACGGATAGAGCTTCCGACCCCCCTTAATTTCATTGACCCTCTACACGAGTTGAGGAAAAAGAGTTAAAAGAAGTACTCTAGCGAGCGCCAGATGTACAGAAATTGCTCTTGCTCGACTAATAAGGGTCGACCGTGCAAAAGACTGCAGTTGGAACCCCCGCCAAGTGAACGAAAAGAAAAAAAAGAAGTAAAATGAAAGTGAAAAAGGGGTTCCGACGGTGAAATGAAGTGAAAGAGCACCCCGGTACCACGAGTCCTTGGTTGTGAATGATGTGAGTCCCTTTATCCATGAACTAACTTTTTTACTTCTACTTCTTCCCATAATCCTGGCTTGAGTCTAGTACTCGCATTGAGAGAGATAGGGAACGTCTTAGAAGACCTGTTGACCTCGTAAGCTGCTTTATGATCTAGAAAATCCTCTACCAACGATCGGGATTGTTTGTTGCTATAGAGGTCTGGAGAGTTGCATTGGTTTGAATTAGGTTTGCTTGGGGACAAGCAAACGGTTAAGTGTGGGGGAATTTGATAGACCATTGATTGCACATGTTTTTACCCCTATTCTTGAGTCATTTGATATGTTGATTCTCGTGTTTTAAGCCGATTTCACGCTAGGTTGTGCGTTTATGTCATATTTCAGGGCTTAGCGTGGAAGGAGCGTGTGTTGGGTTGAAGTGTGCTGGAGGAGCAAAATACCCGGCCATGAGCAGAAATACCCGGCAGGGTATTATTTGGAGCAGACCGGGGAATTTATGTTTCGGGCGTCTGAGAAGCAGAAGGGGGCCCGGGCAATGAGCAGAAATACCCGGTCGGTTATTCTTGGCCTTGACCGGGGATTTTCCCCTATTCCCCGACGGTGCATTTTGACAATACCCGGTCGCCACCTAAAATACCCGACCGGGTATTCAGGCCGGGGATCGCGACAGACAGCCTCTTAAGGGAAAAGAAGGGCAAAAGACAAAGGGTTCAGATTTTTAGAGAGAAAAAGCGATACCTAGAGAGAGAAAGTGACGAACCTGATACTGCAAGTGTCCTTGATCGATCTCCATCACCATTGGAGCACTGCTTGAGCTTGGAGAAGAGCTGATTGAGTGCCAGAAGCAGATTCTCATCCTTCACAGTATGGTTTCCATATCTGAGCTAGATTTCCCATTTCTCTCTATGGAGTAACTTTCTTATTCACCTGGGTATGAAGAACCCTAGATTTGTATGTTAGGTCTGATTGTATGAACCCAAGTACAAATTCAGTGGTATGATTATGTTCAATTCATGTTTGATTTGTTGAATGGCATGAATCCTAATCAAATTCCTGTTGTTTCTGCTTTAACCTAGAAAGAGAATATCTGCCTAGGTTGATAGAGCACCCTTGATTGAAGGTAGTGAATTGGCGACTTTAGTCGAGAAGTCAATTCACTATTCTGTACCGAATTCACTTCGGTAGTGGAGGTTTGGTTTGTTAGGGCCTCAATCTGTTTACTCCGGTGGAGGTTAGTCGCCCGCTGGAGACTCAGATTGAGAGGGTCTGGAGACCTTTAGTTGAGACTGTAGACTATTTAAGAACCTCCCGCAGTATAACTATCATTGAACTTGAACTTGGTAAATTACAATCCGGCTTAACTACAGTCTAAGGGGAACCATATCCGGGTGACCTCTCTCGACTTGAAAACAACCTTTTTACTTGCTTTGCTTGTTTGCTTGTTTGGACCTTCACTAAAGTTTCACTGCTAAATAATAAGAACCCACGGAGTAGTCATCACATCTAGGACCCGGGTTGACATTAAAACCCAAACCCGCTATACTACGCTTTAGGAGGTGGTTACACTTGGCCATTTTCGAGAGTGACGGTAGAAGCGAGTCAACCACCAATGGATTTAAATATTTCAAGTGACAAAACATGAACATTTTTCTAATCTCAGTGACCAACCATTCAATTAACCCATTCAATATTGAAAACACTACATACTCCATGTTCAATATTCAACATAAACACTACCACCCGTACACACCAATCCACCTGTACAAACCCTACATATGCACCACTACTACTCTATGGACAAACCACACCGACGAACAGTAAAATCACTACAAAGACTTCCACGCAAAAACACTCCCACTATTATGACTACCACAGTACTACTTTTCCATCTAAGAAACTACATGCCCGGCGCTACCCATATATATGGTGGCGCGGAATATATAACGGAAGAACAAAAGAAAAATCACGGAGTACCGTCACTGATCTCCTCTCTTGGTTGTCCAACTTCCACCGACATGATGGCTAAGTCCAGCACCGGTTCCGCCCCGTCCATTTCCAGTGCTCCAGTCAACACAGAAACTGCCTCATATTCATTCGCCATGAACCAAAGACCTTCTCCGCCGTTGCCGGCGACACCTCTGGCGCTACATGGTCTTCCCCTTCGATTTTTATCTCCACCACCCTCGTCGTTGCTATCCACGAATCGGATCAAAATGGAGACACTACACCCTAAACCCCTCTTCAAACAATCGAAACTCTTAACCATTCCAAATCTCATAAAATCCGCCCACTAAAATAAAGAGATTTAATTAAAAATAGAAATTAATAATTAATGCTGCCAATCCCTAATTTACCCTTAGTGTTTCTGATCCATTGGATTAGAAGTATAGTTGGACAGTGTGGATTGAGGTTAGTATGGTGCTAACCCCCTATGAGATAAAGAAAGCGAACAAGTTATTCCACAAGTGATTTAGAAAGGCGGACGTGCGCCGGCTTCTACAGTGCTGCGTATTTGGAGTTTATTTGTTTATTCAATAGTTTATTTATTTGTTAAAGTAGTATTAAGTTACCTAGTTAGTTTGAGGCTTGTTTATCTATGTTTAGAAGGTTTATTTTGGGTTTTTGTGACCTCTATAAATAGAGGATGTAAGACCTATGGGTTTAACAAAAATCAACAATTTTATTCAAAAATACAAACCCTAGAATTGGTTGTTCAAACACCAACTTCTCTTCTTCTTCTCTCTTGATCGTGGAATCAATTCAGCAAGAAGAACCCGACGTTTTCTGCTAGCTCATCACTCTAGCCAAATAGTCATTCGTATACCTGGCCCTATTCCTTGCGTGTGGATTAGTTTTTGGTTGTTATTCGCTTTGTGATTGTTGTGCTTCTAATCGATCTTTGCTGCGTTTCTCAATCTTTAAGTCCAGGAGTTAGAGCCTCGGCTTATGACACAGGAAATTATTTATAATCCACATTAGGAGCTGAGATATGTTAAGGTCAGTTGAACAAACTTAATTAACTAAATTAGGTAATAATCTGGAATTTTTATTAAGCCCAAGGGGAAGTTGAGTCTAGACAACATCATTACCTACCAAAAAATACACCCACTAATTTGCTTGTTTGTTACTTTTGTTACTGGATTACTCAAGAAATAAGTGGAACTTCAACCACAAACTTTGCTTCAGACACGACTCCCATGCTTTGGTAATTGTATTGAGGGGACCCTAGGGAATACTAATGCACAGGGTGCTATCCTCTAAGTATTTTTTACGATTGCTTTTATCGTATCAACTAACACATTAATCTCAATTTCTCATGATAATTAATCAGATAGTTCTTGTGTTTGGGGATCCTAGAGTGCAATCTTAAGATTAGAGCAAGCATAAATCAATAGAAGAGATAATTCTAAAATTCCTTAATAAATGAAGCAAATCGTTAGTCTAAACTCTAGAATCGTGTAGGATTCCACCAACCCAAACAACAAATAGGTTTAGTTACTCAAAGTTATACAAAGCGTGATGTTGAAATAGAAACCTAACTGGAACAGATATTAAGACATATAAAAAGTGAGTTTCAAGTTTCAATTGTTGTAGTGTTGATATATGTACAAACACCCAAAAATATCCTACAATTTTGCTACATATTATAGCATTTCCTTTTAGACACTTCCAGGCCGATGTTGTGTGTCTGTTGGGGCCTCCAACACCAGTCAACTTTTCCCCAGAGCGATGGCTATGAAGGAGGAGGATTGGAGAATCAACAAAAAATTAGAAACAATCAAAGATCTTGAAACCAAAAGAATATTCATATGATCAATGATTTTGATATCAGCTTAGCCACTGCAAGTGATGGGAAGTAGCAGAGTGAAGTTAGAATAGAGATTTTGGAGAAGAAATCTAGGGTGGGAAGAAGAACTAAAGAACTCTTTGGGTCTCACCATCGTGAACTGCATGTCGTGAAGGTAATAGAGAAAATGAGTGAGAAACATATATGAGGATCCAAAAGACATTCGCGTGCTTTGAAATATGGTAGTTTCATTCCAACTTATCTATTGCAAGTGATGAGAATTATTAAAATCAAGTTAGAATTGAGATTTTGGAGAAGATTATGGGGGAGTAGAAGAAATTAAAAACTATCAGAAATTCGACTCCACTGTAACATGCAAAATAAGAATTCACCCTAATCGTCTTATGAAGGGTTTTCGATCAAGCAATATCCTTTATTTGAGTTCCTGAATATCGCATAGATCTGCACCAATAGGCGACTTGAATTCAACATCGACAAGGATTCAACTATCTTGCCCACTATTGACTCGGAATCGAAAGATGAAGATAAAATTTAACGCATTCCGATTTATGTTTTTTCAAGAAAATATGAAAGAAATAAAAGAAAATCTATAGAAATCTAGAGAGTAGACACAAAATAAAGGGGATGGTGTTGATGAAGAATGTTCTTTGTGGAAAGAGAGAGAAAAGAAAGAGGTGAGAAATAAAGACCATAAAAGAAAACGACAAAATAAAATGAGATGCTCGAATGAAATAAATGTTTTTAAAATCAAGCCGAACCAGACAGGTAAAATCGGGACCAAGACATTAGATCCACCAAATCTACTATTTAGCCGCCTACTAAGAGCTGATGCCTTTTAAACAAAATATTATATATAAGTATACATAATAAATCATCAATACAGAATAAAATAATTCTCTAAAATAAATTTAAAACATATGACTAATAATTACTAAAATTCAGCCCCATATATTAATTTTCAAAGAAATAATTTTGGGAAGGAGTGGATAGTTCCACGTTAGCATTATTATATCTCCATTCCCCTTGTCTCTCTCGCCATAAAAAAAGGATTATCATTTCTTCTGTAGTTCTTTCACCCCCCCCTCCCCCCCCATCACTACATAATGCTACATCAAGAATACAGCTTATATATTTGTACCTCACCATCATTCTAATCACAAAGGGATTGTGGGAGAAGATCGATGACGAAAAAGGGGTTCCTTCTCCTTTTTTCTGTTCGACGGAGCAAAGGGGTACTAATTATATTTCAACTCCCAACATGTCACATGCCACTGATGCTTGTGTGGTTTTTCATATTTGCAAGATGCCATTGAAAATGGATGCATCAAGTTCCCTAAGGCAAAGAAGGATGTCGTGTTGGTGGACACTGACCCATCTCTCAATGTGCTCGGCCTCAATATGGTCAACCGAGACTTCTCCAAAGTCTAGTTGCCATATTTCAAGTTGGTGTTGGATACAACACCGCCTCAAAGGAACCCCAAGGTGGTTTTTGAACAAGGGAGCTCATCAATTGCCATTTAGGAAAACTCGGTCGCAGTGATGTCATATAGGATTGAGAAGTTGTATGCTCAATGCAAGAAAAGTCTTGAACTTTACGAGGAAAAGTCAAGATGTCCATCTGGGGGCAGGAGGTGTCCAAGCTGTCACATCAACCTTAAGCCCCACATCCTCATGGTAAACTTGCTAGTAATATGGTTAAGTCTAGATAGGGAGGTATGCCACCAATTACAGATAGTGGACATGCATGGAGGAATATTCTAACAAGTCATGACGTGAGAAAGCCACAAAAATTTGTTTGAGATATGAAAATTTAGCTAAGTATGGATAAGGCATATCCAATAAACCATATGAAATCCAAGCTACACATGCTTGTGATAAGGATGCAAGTTTAGCTAAATGTGGGCAGGAGAACTAGTCCACGTCCATGAGTAGTAAGTACATACCATCAACCATGAAGGGTGGATATGAGGGCATGTACAAGAGGTCACTAAACAAACCAACCAAACATGGTCGACAAAGAACCAATGATGGTTTTGTGCTTAGTGTAGGGCCAACAAGGTTTAAATGTTGAAATACTAAATCAAGGAAGCCACATGAGTGGTAGTAGACTTATCAAGCCAATGATGGTTTTTGAGACTAAGCATGTATAAACTAGAAGAAAACCAAGGCAGAGAACAATCATGATCGCCTTGACATGTCAAGTAAGGTGACCCATGAAAAGAAGCATGAGACCTCATGCAAGGCCACCAAGGCTAGACATGTCATACCATCCACTAGTAAGATCAAAACTTCAAAACCAATATATGAAGAGTCATCTCTCATGGAGGAAAAGAGTCACGTGGTCTATGGATGAGTTGTCTGGTTTGACCCATGGACTGGACAGTGGGTGTACACCTTTGCCGCATTGGTTGTTGTCAAAGGATACAGAAAGCAATGACTGTGTCACTCATTGTCATATTAAATAAATAAGTTATATAAATATATATTGAAAAAGGAAATCACAACTTAAAAATAGATAATAACTTCAATGTAAGGATATTGACACCAAGTCATAGGTGAAAAGGAAGACTGTCCTTTTGTAACACCCATACATACTTCAAAACATTCACAAGATCATACTGATTAAAATCTTTTACAATTTTGTTTAGTTTACAAACCAAACCATAATTTACACAAACTTTTAAAACTTCTAACACATGACAGTAGAGAAGAACATCTTCTCTCAAAATATTATAGACAAGTCATGTCGGAGTCTGAGTCCACCATCCCACCTCATTGATGTCGAGCTGAGCCTTACATAGTTTCCTTGACTTCTAGTCCAAAACTTCTAATCTAGGGAATTTTTTTTACTAGGGTGAGACGCCACCTCAATGAGTAAAAGCTAACCTATCAATAGTATCAATACAAACATAATATCTGGTGAAGTCAAACCTCGTGCTTAATCTCTTAGTTTTCCAAGATAATTAATTTTGGCATTCACTTTGCCAAGGCATTCCATACATGTAACCATGCACAGTTTAGTAGTCCATCCCACGCACACACACATGGTTAGCCAGATTACGTGTCTTTTTTCCTTTAATTTGCCGGGTCGTGCACTCCCCTGGGTATATCTAGTAGATGTATAAAGTATCGCCAATAGATGCATTAAGCATTTCTAGTAAATGCATAAAGCACCACCCAATAGACGCCTTAGGCACCGCCAATAGATGCATAAAGCACCACTAATAGATGCATTAAGCATCGCCAGTACACCATGCCTGCTATCGCTCTCCCATATAGTTGGACATAAAGCCTCAGGTGCAAATCTCATAGAGTACACCGTTGTGACATATTGCGTAATACACGAGGAAGGGGTGTGACACTTTCGAACCTAGCCTTTTGTTGTTCACACTCACTCTATTAATGATAGCTTTCACAAGACTTGTTACTAAATAAAAATTACCGTATAGCGCTTGTTATTCGTCAGACAAGACTCGACTCTCGCTTCACTAATTGGAAGATAAAGGAGAGCTTCGATCCATTGTGATTTGGTGTGGAGAGATATAAGTAATACAGAGAGCACGTAGGCCTTATTATGCGGGTAATGGCTTTGGCATGTCGAGTTTTGTCTCAGTCTCTTGGGCATGTATCATGATATCTTGTGTAGGCCACCATGAGCTTCTAGTGGTAGTTATGATGTGAGGGCATGCTGGTTTGGAGATGAATGACGGTAAGAGAGCAATGAGGGCTAGGTATTTGTACGGTGTCTCTAACAAAAGGAGAAAAAGTATTGTAAGGCATAAGGATTAAATGGTTGTGGTGGCTTCTCGTGAAAGACACCGCAATGGAAGATTAATTTATCCTTTTGGTCTTTTTAAGGTGGTTTCGCGGTGAGTATGAACAAAGTAGTTAAATCGGGATTTTACCTAAAATCGAAAACTGAGGTAAAATCGGAATCGTAAAATCGAATTGTAGAATCGTAGGATTTTAGGTACTATATAGAAATTAACATATAATAATATTGATAAGGCAAATAATTAATAACACAAAAACTTTGAACATTTAAAGTGATAATTTTCAAGATTAATGTTCCAAAATCATCATTTTAATTGTTATTTAATGCGTAGCTCAAAATAATTTATGAGGAAGG